AGATAAAAGAGATAAGAGAGGAACCCACGTGGGCTGGGGATTCGAACCCGCCACCTTAGGTGTACGTGGCTGGCGCCTTAGCCGGTTGAGCCACAGGCGCCGAGCCAACTTTTAATTTTTTAATTCAAACTTTTATTTGTTTATATTTAGGTATTTCTCTTTCTATATTATAAAGGAATGTTAGCATTTATTTTTTAACATATTATGATAGAAGAAATTTTATGTAACAAATAATTTCAAAACAGTGTAAGAAATATTATATACTGGTAACAAATCAGTACTATACAGTGTAACGTGGAACCTTATTTTTCCCTCAAAACTTTAGGCAAAAAGTGCACATTATACACAGCAAGATACGGTAACTAGCGGACACTGGTACATCATATCCTCTGGGTACAATGACAGGCTGAAAACCGGCAGCCCCTATAGGTGTCTTCATTCCCACGCACGTGAGTGGCACACAGCCTCTATAATCAGTCTCCTCACTAATAAAAAGAATCCATCCAACAAAAGCACAAAGAAGAAAAAAACATGCATGCTCTGTCTCTATCCATAAAACACCCACATTCTACTTCTGAGGGTCAATTTTCCTAAATGTTGGGAAGTCACAGTCCAGGACAATCTGAAGCACCATCAGGAAGCCAGGGTGCTGGCAGGTGCGGCCAGGAGCTACCTGGACGGGGAGCACTTGCAGGGACAGAGAGGGGCTTCCCTGTCCACCTTCCCTACTTACTAGGGTGGCCCTGAAGGTTGGGTCTGGGCCACGGTGGAGCTACTCCGTCCAGACAGAAAGGTAACTGTGTACTGGTTATGTAAAACCACAGAGGGCTCGGAGTCTCTCTCCCTCCCTCTTTGGAGAAGGAAGAAAAGGCATGTTCATTTAAAGTAACTCATTTTCTGAACAATTTCATGGAAAACCCAGGAGAGTTTTTCTATGTGCCATATTTAAGAAAAAAAGTTTGCCTGGAAAATACATGGTATCATTGATAAGTTTCCTAAAAAAATTCAGCTGTGAATTCAGTGAACCAGAATGTAATTTTACAATCACTATTCAGCCTGTACATGAAATAT